TGGGTCAATGGATATACATGTTCTGGACTTTTCATATAAAAGAATCAAACAATATGTGCTCTTTTGTGACTGGCTTATTTTCACTCTTTTGTAAGAAATTTCACTATGCAAGTGGTAAGAACCTGGAAAACAATGTTTGTCGATATTGTAGCATGTATAATTTGATAAACACAAACATGTTTATATAGTTAATGCAGTAGTGGGGGGAAAAAAAAGGCAGTGTAAAGGTTCATTAATAGTAGACTATAAATAAAATTGTGGTACCTTTCTATAAAGGGACAAACCCACACATGTACCAGTGTGGTACTACATGAGAAATCTATTAGATTTTTTGTTGTTGTTTTTTTAGGATGGAGTTCCCACTCTGTTACTCAGGCTGGAGTGCAGTGATGTGTTCTTGGCTAACTGCAACCTCCACCTCCCGGGTGGATTTGTTGCCTTTTATGGCTGAATAATATTTGATTTATGGAAATTATATGGAAGAAGTGTTTTTTTCATCAGTTGATGGACATCTGGATTGTTTTCATTTTTTGGCTGTTATGAGTAATGCTATAATGAATACTTGGGCCAAGTACTTTGGAGCCCAAGGCAGGCGGATTACCTGAGGTTGGGAGTTCAAGACCAGCCTGACCAACATGGTGAAACCCTGTCTTTAAAAAAAAAAAAAAAAAAAAGAACACTTTTGTACAAGTTTTTGTATGGATATATGTTTTAATTTCTTTAGAGTATATACCTAGGATAAGAATTGCTGGCTCCTGTAGTTACTCTATGTTTAATATTTTGAGGAACTACCTGATTGTTTCCAAAGTTACTATACCATTTTACATTTCCATTGATAGTGTATGAAGGCTCCAATTTTTCTACATCTTCACCAACACTTGTTATTAATATTATGTCTTTTTTTTTTTTCCACCAAAATAGAGCCTCACTTTACCCAGTCTGGAGTGCAATGGTGTGATAACAGCTCACTGCAGCCTTGACCTCTTAGGTTCATGTGATCTTCCTACCTCAGCCCCACTGAGTAGCTGGGATTACAGGCATGTGCCACCACACCTGCCTGATTTCTTAATTTTTTTGTGGAGACAGAATCTCACTATGTTGCCAGGCTGGTCTTGAACTCCTAGTCTCAAGCGGTTCTCCCCCCTTAGCCTCCCAAAGTGCTGGGATTACAGACGTGAGCCACTGTGCCCTGCTTTGTTTCTCTTTTTATTTATAGCTGTAACTGGTGAGTGTGAAATGTTATGTCATTGTGAGGTGTTGCTTTATTTTGTTTTGTTTGAGACACGGTCTCACCCTATTACCCAGGCTGGAGTGCTGTCTCAGCTCACTACAATCTCTGCCTTCCAGACTCAAATATGCATCATCATGGCTGACTAATTTTTGTATTTTTTGTAGAGACAGAGTTTTGCCATGTTGCCCAGCCTTCATGGTGGTTTTGGTTTGCATTTCCACGATGCCGAATGATACTGAGCATTCTTCCATATGCGCATTGGTCTATCTTCTTACATTTAATACAAACATTGTTGCCCACCTTTCCTAAAACGTGTGTTCAGAGTATTGATGTCTATATTTCACCACAAAAAGTTCATTTTAGGAGCCCATCTATTGTAAAATTGGCCACTGTAAGAAACGTAACCTTATCAAGCCCCATTGAGTCATTGTTTATAGTGATTTTTCTGAGAATGTCTTTGTTAAATTCACGTTTTATTTTTCTTAACAGTATTTCACTGGCCTTGAATGTGGACATAAGTTTTGTATGCAATGCTGGAGTGAATATTTAACTACCAAAATAATGGAAGAAGGCATGGGTCAGGTAAAGATACCAAGTTGTTTTTCAGTTTTTGTTGAATTTCCTAGTGTTTAGACCCTTGCACAAATAAAAACAGGTAAAGCTTTGTGGAATATGAATTGCATGGGGAACATTTTTCTAGATTCAGACAACTAAAGATAATAGGCAAGGTGGCGTTCCAGTTAAGGAGTCAATCCAGGTAACGTTTTCTCAGCCGGCATCAGTATTGGTATTTGTTAAGTTAAACTCGTTGCACGCTTTTGCCTTTAAAGTTTTGTGTTTAAAAACCAATTATTAGGTTAGCAATTCTAGTTACTTTATGGTGATAAAGTAACTCTCACACATATTTCCTTTAAGTAGAAAGGGAAGGATTGAGATCCTGTAAACGTTAAGGTATTCTGAGAACCTAGCAAAGTGCCTGGCGATGGTAAGCATTCATTAAATATTTGTTGAATGAAGACAGTTTAAATTTCAATCTTTTTCAGACTATTTCGTGTCCTGCTCATGGTTGTGATATCTTAGTGGATGACAACACAGTTATGTAAGTATTTTCGATAGATTCTGCATGTGAATATTGGTTAGTTGGTTAAACCAAATTAATTTTTACTTAGCACCTCAAAGGAAGTGAAATTTCTCAAAGTCTGAAGAAACTCTTTACATTCCCTCATAGTAGTCCAAAAGCCTATTTGTAACTTGATTAAATGCCTGATCACTATTCTTAGAAATGCGTGGTAACTAGATTTTGATAAACCTTGGAACTGGAGATTAGAATCTATGCATGTGTTAGTTGAGGTGCTCTTTGAAGCAGATCCCAAGATAGAAAAAAAGTGAAACTGACTCATTGTGGAATAGCATCTGTGCAAGGTAAACAGCAGGAACAGATAAATATCAATGTAGGCCTGGCATCTGTTAAAGAAAAGAAGGAAGATTCAATAGGAAGAGACTTTGTAAGATACAGCTGTGAGAGTCTTTTGCAGCCCTGTGGGGGAACTTGAGTGCGTAGAGTGCCCAAAGAGGAATACCTCAATAAGTATAAAGAGCCAAGCCAAGTACCCTTGGTATTCTTAGTCGTTGGCTGTACTACCCAGGGAATCATGGTCTTGGCTGGAATACTGCTACTGATTTCAGACACCCTCCAGCTGGAGGCTTTCAGCTAACAACTCTTCTTGTGAAAGGTTCTTTCTTTTTTTTCTTTGAACTTTTAGGTTCAGGTGTACATGTGCAGGCTTGTTACATGGGTAAATTCCTTGTCCATGATGTTTGGTGTACAAATGATTCCATCACCTAGGTAGTGAGCACAGTACCTGATAGGTAGTTTTTCACTCTTGCCCTCCCACCCTACGCACTCTAATAGCCCCCACTGTCTTTTATTCCCAGCTTTATGTTCATGTGTACTCACTGTTTAGCCTCCACTTATAGATAAGAACGTGTGGTACTGAGCTTCCTATTTCTGTGTTAATTCATTTAGGATGATGACCTCCGGCTGCATTTGTATTGCACAAAGGACATGATTGTGCTCTTTTTTTTATGACTGTATAGTATTCCATGGTGTACATGTACCACATTTTCTTTATCCAGTCCACTGTTGATGGGCAACTAGATTGATTTCATGTGTTTACTATTGTGAATAATGCCACAGTGAACACACTAGTCCATGTGTATGTGTCTTTTTTAGTAGAACGATTCATTTTCCCTGCAATCTCACCAACATATGTTATTTTTTTGCTTAAGTTTTTTTTTTACTTTTTAGTAATAGCCATTATGACTGGTGTGAGATGGTACGGTATATCATTATGGTGTTGATTTGCATTTCTCCAGTGATTAGTGGTGTTGAGTATTTTTTTTACCCATTGGCTGCATGTTTGTGTTCTTGAGAAATATCTTGGCATATACTTTGCCTTTTTCCTTCTGTTTTTTTTTTTTTTTTTTTTTTTTTTTTTTTTAAGTGAAAGCAAGTTTATTAGAGAATTAAAGAAACAAAGAAATGGCTACTTCATAGACAAAGCAGCCTGCCCATTTTTTAATGGAGTTAATTGGTTTTTGCTTGTTTGATTAAATTCTTTATAGATCCTGGATATGAAACCCTTGTTGGATGCATAATTTGTGAATATTTTCTCCCATTCTGTAGGTTGTCTGTTTACTGTTAATAGTTTCTTTAGCAGTATAGAAGCTCATTAGTTTAATTAAGTCCCACCTATAATTTGCCTTTGTTGTGGTTGTTTTTGGGGACTTAGTCATAAATTCTTTGCCAAGGCTGATGTCCAGAATTGTATTTCCTAGATTTTTTTCTAAGATTATAGATTTGAGAATCTTACTTTTAAGTCTTAATTCCTTTGGTTAATTTTTATATATGGTGAAAGATAAAGGGGTCTAGTTTCATTCTTCTGCATGTGGCTAGCTAGTTATCCCAACAGTCATTTATTGAATAGACAGTCCTTTAGCCATTGCTTGTTATTGTTGACTTTGTTGAAAATCAGATGGTTGCAGTTTTGTGGCTTTAGCTTTGGGTTCTGTATCCTTTTCCATTGGTGTGTGATTGTTTTCATATCAGGTACCATGCTGTTTTGTTTACCATACCTTGTAGTACAGTTTGAAGTTGAATAATGTGGTACTTCTGGCTTTGTTCTTTTTGTTTAGGAT